TTCCACTGGCTAGTTTGCACTCTGTTGTTCAACGCTCCCCGGTGAATGCATCCCCTCCATCGAAAACGGAGCTCGCTCACTTGCTGCTCAATTGCAGTTGGGGGCTCATCCTGCAGGTCTGCTCGACCTCGTGTTGATAACCGGATTCATAGGGGAAAAACGCGTCTAGCGAGGAGTGAGGAATAGCTCCGTGGTATAGCGTACCAAGCTACCAATCTTCGCGATGAGCTTCTCATCCAGTAGGACGCGGAACATCACCTTTGCAATGTTTTCGCCGACCCAGCGCAACTAATGTAGCCGCCGGGGAACGTTCCGGACATCGTCCGTTGGGGCTCATGTATGCAACTGCAGCGCCTTGCTGCAAATTCGCCACGATTGTACTAGCGGTCGAGCTGAGATGCGATCTGTTCGGTGCTGGTGGTTCTTTGATAGAACCTACGAGATAACTAGTCGCTCCGCCCGTGACGTTGACTTGTTTCAGTTGCATCCATCAGATCGATGGGACCTGTGTGTCTTGGTGCTGATAGCGCCCGACTTCTCCGTACTTTGTCAGAGCTTCCGGGGCTGAGCCTTGCATTCAGCCAGTCAGGTACATTGCAGCACGGGGAAGTGAAAGTACCATCCGCCAAAGGGGGTGGACAAGAAGAGACATGCTCCAAAATTTCAATCAAAGTATCAAACAAGACGAGCAATGGCAACAGACAGGTCCAATGAGAGGAACTTTCATGACGTTCTCACCCGTCATAGTTGAAGTTGCCCCGAGGATGAACCACGGTGAGCGGCGACGGTCAGCGCGCGCAAAGACCTTAAAGCTGCGAAAGAAAATTTTGCGCGTCTTCCCCGAAGCCTCATCCATGGTCGGGCAATTTCTTCTATTGAGGTTTAATTCCCACCATCTCGGGTCCCGTATCTGTGTGTTATTTTATTACCATTATCATTATTATTCTTAGTTCCATCGCACGACCATCGGAAAGCTTCCTTCTCCATTCCTAGCCGGGCTGGAGAATTTAACTCACACTTGCCCACCAATTTTCTTAGCACCGACGAATGGCAATGCGCGGAAGCCATCCTATCCCTGTCGCGCGGTAGGTGAATGAATGCATACATGGCTCCTGCCAGTTAGTAGTGTTATGTTAAGAAGGCGCCATACGGGGTACCCCATACAGTCCAGGGGCAAAAAAGAAAAAGGGAAAATCTGAATCAACTTTCGTCACATTATCAACCCTGTGATTCGATGTTCCGATGGACACATGTTCCCGAAGCGCGATGGATGGGGAGAGATGGATCGGCAGCCTGCACATCCTTTCCTGGTTCTGCTTTGGCTGCTCACTCCCACTCGCTCCCACTCGCTCCCAGCCATGATCCGTCAGAAGGTGTGTCGAACCCGCGGGAATGGATCGTCCTGCCCCAAGCCGTTGACTTCCTTTGTGGTGGAGCTTAAAATCCGACCAGAGAAGGAAAAGTACGCCAGCCCACATCCACTACCAGATTGGGGGGGTTGGGACTAAAAGGACGATACATGATCATCCAGCGCAAAGTACAACTCCTCCATATACAGATGCATCGTTTTTCCTATTGCTGCAGGCAGACGATAGAAGTGCTTTTTTGGGATCTCGTCTACGGCAGGCAAAAACCACTAGTGGTGGCAATTACAAGACTTTTGGTTGTAACTGAGGGGGGAGATACCTCCGGTTGTAGTACCGTCTAGGTGCATTATCAGTGGCACTAGTCAGGGTAGCGGGAGGCACGATGAGAGAAAGGTCGAGCGAAGCATTCCGATATTGATCCTGACCCCGTCTTGCGGCGATGGAGGCAAAGCCACGAATCCGATGGCTCGATCGACGTTGCATGACCTCCCCTGAAGACTTGATGAGAACGTTTTGACTAGGTCCGACTGACTGACTATTATCGCCCCATTTGACGTACTGATACACTCTTATGCCCTTTTTGTGGCTTAATGATCCGCCGCCGCCTCGGCAATTGTTAGGAGGAGCTAAGGAGGAATGGAGAAAATGAAAGGTTCGCTTCGCTATGGAGCCATGCAAAATTCGGTGACATTTGTGCCAGGGGAGGGGGGTGGGAAAGTGGAAAAGACGAGCCGTCCTGTTAATGTTGGCGAGTGTTGATTGATCCGTGGCAACAATAAGAACAACAACAAGAAGAAGAACCAGAAGAAGGGAAGGGGGAGGAGGGAAGGGGAACCAAAAATCACATTGTAAAAGGGCCATCCAACCTCAGCAGCATCATGCCTCTACATCATCGGCCATGGATCATCGTCATACTACTAGCGGTGGATGATGAGGATCATCGCCATTCCTCCGAGAGCGACACCTCGTTGGCGGTGATGAGTGGCCCCCCCCTTCAGGGGATTTGGGTTCCCGCTAAGGAGGGCAGCGGCGAACCAAGGGGCGTGAAATGCTGGGTCCGACAGTCACTAACCGAACCACTGCTGAGAAAGGAACAAGACGAACCCCTAAAAGGGCAGCGGCGCCCACCAACCACGGGACGCCAGTCCGAACGGAGGCCCTTCACCGAAACAATCATCTGGCGGCTTTTATTTGATGGCCAGAGAGAGAGAGAAGAGTAAGAGTGAGAGACAGATATCTTTTTGTTCTTTTTTAGTCGCTGGTTTACGTAGTTGTGAGGTGTTATGATGTAGTATCTGTTTGGTAGATGGGTTAGTTGTCTCAATCGGATTGGGCTTTTCTTTCACTCTACATAGTTATTCATGTGTCTCATGTCTCTTCTTTCCTTAGCCTACATCTTCCTTTTTCCTGCCTGTCGTGTCTCTGTTTTTTTTCGCCTCTCTTTTTTTACATTTCTTGCCTCCCCCCGTACCCAGGAATACGGTGATAATCATTCCAGTGGCGGCCACGAGTCTTCCCACTTTTAGTGTGGTGCCGCTAATCCCCAACTGGGTAAGACCGAGCCCACCGAGGTACCACTCCGTACTCTGTTTGTACCTCCCATACCAAATCCGGGTGAATTTCCTGCCCAAAAGTACAACAGGCATGTACCCTCTGGGTAATTATGGGAATCGGTATGTTACCGGCTTCCCCCTGCTACCTGCCTAATTCACTCGAGGCAGGGCTGTGATTAGCCCCGCGACCAGCTCTAATTGTCGCATAAATTGTGGTGGATTAGTGTCCATTTCCCAGCATGACAATACTGCGTGTGTTGGTATCTGACTGTTATAGTTACCCACTGCGACTTATGACTACTACTAAGTAACTAACCCATTGGTCTTGCTGGAGGAAGTACTCCGTAGTTAGTGTTTACTACTATAGGTACGTGGTCCATCGTCAGTCACGGCACTCTTCAGTAGTTATCTAGTTAGTAGAAGCGGTAAGAATAGAAGCAGCAAAGTCAGTAAGGCAAGTCAGTCGTGAGCTACTAGTAGTAGTAAGTGTACAAAGTATTAGTAGTGGTGGTATAGAGTATGTAAAAGCGGTACGGATATCAACCGCAGCAGAAGAGTGGTTCCTTTTTTGCGACTTTTCGCGATAAATTCTCCCCATTATTACCTACTCGGGAGTATTCCTATTACATACCAGATCTGCTTGCTGCTGCTGCTGCTGCACTGCTGCTTAACTTGCTTTGCTGCTACTTGCTGCTGCTGGTCTTTTTTGCTTGCGAAACTGACCACGATAATTTATTATTTTATTTATTATTATTTCTTTCAAGGATTATTATTGCGACGAACTATTCCTACTTACAGCGACTTCCTCGACGTTCTCAATCTCCCTCTTCGCGTTCATACCTCTCTCTTTTTACTCATCTTGCTGGTTGTTCAATTTTTTTTAAGCTACTGGCTTTGCTCCTCTTTTCTCCTCTCCTCTCCTCTCTTCTCCTGTCTGTCCGTCGGATCTCTCGTTGTCCTTCTCCCTTTCCTCACCAAACCTCTCCTCTCTCTCCACTTCCCTCCCTCCCCGACTCTCGCTGGGATTTTCTCTTAACCCAAAGAATTTAACACCCCCCCCTTTTTTTCCTTTCCTCTTTTAATTTATCTTACGTGACTTGAGAGGAAGTGTGATTGTGACACACACACACACACACCCACACTCACCCCCCCAAGACCTTGTCGCTCATCAATCAATCACTCAGCAGCGTTATTATTCCTTTCCCACTCGCAGCAACTACTGCACTAAAACACCACCGAACCCAACCCAAATCAGCACCAAAAACCCACCTCCCTCTTCCCCCCGTGTCCAAGTTTTTAGTCCGCCCGTTTTCGGACTGCCCAACGAACTTTCCTCAAACCCGGGTTCGACACCTTGGATTAATCCCTAATCCTTAATCCCTATAGACTGCCTTGCCCCAAAAAAGGAACAAAGGCGAATATAGCTGGCAATCACTTCAGGTACATCCTTGAATTGCTTTGTCCTGAAAGTGGTGGTTGTCTTTTCCCTCCACCTCTCTCTCTCTCCCTCTCATCTCTCGTCGCCCCCCCGAATTCCAGTTCGCTTAACCCGGACCACGGCTTGTCGCTCTGGTTTCTCCCTCACCCCCTCAAAGTCGCTCTCTCTCCCCTTTGACCGACTTTATTTCTCCAACTCTGCCTCCCCTCTCGTCTTGAAATCTGATCTGATCTCTCCCTTGAGATCTCTTCCTCCCTGGCAGCCGGAACCTGTTTGCTTCTTCCCAGCTGTTTTCGTTGTCCCTTTTTTACTTTTTCCGGCCCGAGAATCCTCGACGAAACAGCCGCCCTGGGAAACAACCCACCTCTTGCTCTTACACCAGCTACCTCCAGCGACAACGCAGATCTTCCCATCTGAAGTCATCGCTAGAGGTAGTCACAGCCCAGCTGTGAAGAAGATATTCAATTGCTGTGTCTGAAATCGTTTCTTTGCGGGAGTAGTTCTATTCCGTTACCCCTCGACCGTGGAAAGCCTGCCTCAGCGACCGCCCCGAGACTTTTTCTCATTCGCTTCCAAGCCACCGTCAACCACAGAAACTCTTAAAATCAACCACCGGCGCCACCACCAGAGTCTGAAAAAACCATGGCGTCAACATCAGATGTGCACGGTTCTTCTCCTGTGCCAACCCTGCCCCAACCCAACGACAACGGTCGTTCACACATGTCTTCTCTCTCATCATCCTCCTCCATCTCCGACGCCGAAACAGAACGTAGAGGACGCTCAGAGAGACCTCGTATGGCCAGTCGGAAACCGAGTGCCTCGATACTAGTTCCACGGGATCATCCTGAAATCGAAATCGAAGAAGAGGAATTCCCCCCTGACGACGCGCGCGCTATGAGTCCTCGACGCAACTCGGCTGATTTGGAGCGACTGGGCAAGGAAGCCAGGCAGACACTACAAGAGTGAGTAGTCGAATGACAATTCCCCAAAATCTCCGGCCAAGTGACGCTAGAGACCAGAAAGGGGGGAAGAAGCGATGCTAATGTGTTACGTGTTCTCGGCAGACAAGCCAAGGCCCTCCAGTCCTCCCTTCAGGCGCTCGCCGAACGTATCGAAGCCGTCAAATCCGACCATGATAAGCTCGAAAGCGAGAACCGATTTCTTCAAGACTACATTGGTGGATTAACCCGCAACATGACCAAGAGCGAAATGACAAGGAGTAGCACCAAGGTCAAAAAGTCGCAGAAATAGCTCCGACGCCGTATTGTCATCCCGGCTATTCGATACAGATAAGCGGTCGGGAATTCGCTGCCCTGGAGAAAGCGAACGATAAGATCAAATTTACGAAACCTCAACCTTCTATGCGATGACCTTCACGTCTCTCATTCACTTCCATGAATTCTCGAACTTGGGTGAATGCCACACTTCTTCGCTACATACTGCAGGTGTCTCACATATGTCGGAATGGGACGCTCTTGGCTGCCGCGCATACTTGAGCAGCAATACGACACGATACATGCGCGCGAAGATCCGCTTGGACTTACTGCTTCGTGTCTGGGATTCCGAAATGACATCTGCGGCTTCATCAGGTGGAACCTTGTGCAACGCTGAAGCCCCGAGGTGTGAACTTTCGCAAATAGATCCCTTCCTTCGATTCGTTTCTTCTCTCTACCGGACGGACCTGATCGTGCAACTGGGACATGGCGGTTGATCACGATGAACAGCCCCATACCTTCACCTCCAACTTGCTACCCGTAATCTGCTGACGACGCTGGATTTGCTTCACCTATGGCCACCCACGTCAATGCGCTCCGCGTGTGGTTGGGGGTTCGCAGAAGCTGCTGCGGTCGTGACATCATCCACACATGCCGGGGGTTACCAGGGAATTTGATCGACGCCTACCGTCTTGGCAGCGATCCGGTGCACGACTCAGACATACTCTTTTTGTGCTCTGGTCTTACCTTTCTTCTGTTCATATTCTGTTTTTTACCCTTTTTTTTTTCTCCTTTTTCTTTTGATCCCTCTATTCTTACTTTCCTATCTGTCATATCATACCGGAGGCTTTGTGTATTGGCATAGCACGCGCGGCGTTGGGACACTTTGACTGGGAACCGTTATTTAGACTTGTTGTGTTCATTTCATCACTTTCTGACATTTGGAACCGCACTGGGCGCATTTGTTTGCAAAGGTCTGCAAAAAGGCGGGAAAGCATTTTCACGGAGCAGCCAATCTTCATGTGGTTTACATCATCCTCATCCTCTCCCCATCCTGTTCATCGCCGCCTCTCCTCCTTATTCCTTTTCCCCCGATCTCTTCCCACCCCATCCCCCACCGCCTCCTTTGCCCATCGACATGTATATTGGAATCGTCCCGGACTGACGATTCAGATTCGACTTGGTTTGATTTTCGTTTGGCTCTGAAGACATTTGCTTACATACCCAGAAGCGAGCGGTTGATACATTAAATGAGAAACAAATTGACAAAACCGAGTCCTACGGAATAGATTGTAGTTGTAACCGATGTGTGTATGTATTGCGACAACCAGTATTCCGTACTTTGTACAATGCATGCATACCTACGAAGTACCAAGTCATCACACCGCATTTTCCCTCCTCGACAGGACCCAGTCTAGTTAGTAGTTGACAGCTCGACACGTCAATGGAGGAACAACAACCCACACGGGAGTCCTTTCATCAAACCAGAACACCCCCCAGAAATATGACCAAGAATTACCCCGTTTCATACCTGTCAACTAGTCTAGCAACTAAATTCTTCACCCATCACCGCCCATCATCGTCAACATATACCGAATTCGGTCGAAGATCGTACGTTTGTAGCCGCCCCGCCCCGTCTTTTTGAACTCGGCATTAAGGAATTCTTATTTACTGATTTACTGATTTCCTTGCTGGGAATAGTCGGAGAAAGTACGGAGTACTTCGGAGGATATTGGATTAGACTATAGACTGGATCGGTGGTGGGGGAGTGGGTTGTCGTACTTATGTACTTTTGAGTCCCTGTTGAGAATATGTTAGGTGATGTGATGTCTTGGGTTAGGATGATAGTATGATGTGATATTAAGCTTGGGGTTGGGAGGAAGTATAGTCTTTTGCTCGTTAGGTGAGATTGATTGATGGTTTCTGGTTTGGTGGTTTATGTTCATATAGGATTCGTTGCCTTGGAATAACAACACCAAGTCAGTACTGATCGTGATATTCTATCTACAGCATGGGTTTAACTTCATAGTGCAGTCGGTATCTGATCATTGGGCTGTTGACTGGTAAGAAAGTGTGATATCAAATAGAATGTTTACATGCTAGTCAAGTAGTTGGATTATTTTCACAATTAATTTCAACTTTTCGAATAGAGAGGAAATGGAATACTCTCTCCGACTTTTTCCATTAAGCTATATGTAGTAAGTAAGTAGTCTTAGTCTGGTCGAGTCTAGTAAGTTATTCAGTAAAGTAGTCATGGAAGAAATCCATCCATCCTTGCTTGCAGATTAGACCTAAGTATAATCAAAATAGGTGGATGAATATCGAGCCTTACCTTTGACGACTCTATTCTACTTTACTAGTTATCTTTATATGCAAAGCAAAAATGAAAATGCTCTACTCTTACTGCTATTTGCCACTGCTACTACCAGCCAAATAATTGTACATAAATGGGTTTTGATGGGGGTTTCAAGTCAAAGTCAGTCAGTCAGTCACTGACATCTAACTATCACACATCACCCACTACTTAGACTAAGCAGCAGCAGTGATCCTGACCAACATACTCAGTTAGTAGTCCATTCATTCTACCTCACCTACACACCAATTGAAATGTAAACATACAATCAAGTGACTCTACCTAGTACCCCACCCATACTCAGGCACCTAAGATGCATGCATACGTAAAAGATTTATACTATTTATACTTACTAATTAGTACGTACACTTGAGTTATAAGTAGTAGTCGGTCCTTACATGCATGCATGTACATAAGTACTTTCTAGCCCAAAAAAAGTTAAAAAGAAAAGAAGAGGAAATGGGAACATCTGATCTATACATAGCTCACTAACCCTACTACTAACCTCATTGAAGTCAAACAAAGGGGGGATGGAAAAACTCTACAATGCTGCCTGCATACTGCATTGTACTTTTGATCGAGGGATAAAAGTTGGTTGGATGGGGATGGGATGGTATGCATGTATGCATGTGCGTTGTATGCAATACAGAAATATCATACAGACTCTCCCGGAAGGGGAGTCCGGAGTATCCGCGAGGGATGGAAAGTATGGCTGGATGAATGCATGCATGCATGTCGGTTATTCATAGAATGGGTTTGGTCGGGATTTGGTTCGCTTTTTGGTTCGTACTTTCATCCTCTCTTCTTTCTGTATCATGTTCGGTGGAAAAGTCTACGAATGTCCGTGTTTAATCATAAATTTCAAATTTCTTTAGCCACTGCCGGGCTTTAGATCTAAACTCAGCTAAGGCGACAAACAAACGCCGTACGTGGCACAAGGTGGGTAAAACCAAGAGAGTTCGGGAAGCAAGAGTCAACGTCCTGGTGGGAACTGACTAGGGTGGAAGTGCGGGTGGATGGCAAGGAAAGGTATTCTTTGGGGGGAATTGCGACAATAGGCAAAAATCGAAATCATCAAGATATAAAAGGAAGCCCCGCGACAATCCGAGGACATAGAGACCAGACCGAGACCACTGACGGCATCAAACGACGCCACCAAAAGACTAGCAGGGACGAAGAAGGCGACGAGATCCAATGCATGACTCCAAAGTTCATGACCTGTCAGCCAGTGAATGGCCGACAAAGCCCCATCCCTTCCGGGCTCGCCGGATAGAACGAACCCCAAAGCGCGCAATGGCTTCATCATCCTCTTCCTACCCCGGGCCTTCTGAGCCTAAGATCCAGATTGTCGGCCGGCCGACCCTATCCAAGTCCGGACGCGAGTCCTTTGACATCTTTAATGAATTTACTCGGCGGGCTTCTCGCCCTCAGCGGGGGCCTCATCCTTCTTCTCGGCGGGGGCGCTCGCCTCGGCGGCGGGCTCGGCCTCGGACGAGGTCCACAGAGTCTACCGAGTGTTAGCATGATCCAAAAACATGAATGCGACCGCATCAACTTACCAGGTTGTCTCTGAGGAGCTGCATGATCAGGGTGGAGTCCTTGTAGCTCTCCTCGCTCAGGGTATCGAGCTCTGCAATGTCTGTTAGCCTCCGGTTCGACGGTCAAGCAGTAGCGTCCACACGTACCAGCAATGGCATCGTCGAAAGCGAGCTTGGCCAAGTGGCAAGCCTGGTCGGGGGAGTTGAGGATCTCGTAGTAGAAGACGGAGAAGTTCAGGGCGAGACCGAGACGGATGGGGTGGGTGGGAGCAAGGTCGGTCTGGGCAACCTCAGTGGCGGCCTTGTAGGCCTCGAGGGAAGCATCGGCGGCGCCCTTGCGGCGGTCGCCGACGGCGAACTCAGCGAGGTAACGGTGGTAGTCACCCTTCCTAATAGACGGAAAGAAACACGTCAGTCATGGATCGCGATCGCATCGAGAGTGGGAACAGCGTGGGTCGCAACGCACATCTTGTGGTAGAAGACCTTGGACTCGCCGCTCTGGGCAGAGGGGATCAGGTGCTTGTCGAGAACCTCGAGGATATCATCGCAGATCTTGGCCAGCTCAGCCTCGATCTTCTGACGGTACTCCTTGATGAGGGAGACCTGGGACTCGTTGCCCTTGGACTCTTCTTTTTGTTCGATGGAGGTGACGATTCTCCAGGACGCACGACGGGCACCGATGACGTTCTTGTAGGCGACAGACAGGAGATTCCGCTCCTCAACGGTGAGCTCTACATCGGCGGAGGCAACGACCTTCATGTTCTCGACCATCTCTGTGGAACAGGGCGGCCATGTTAGTATGAGACGAGACTCGTAGCCGCAAAGTGGGCGGTCGGAGAGAGGGACAACGACGCACCTTCGTAGCGCTCAGCCTGCTCGGCGAGCTTGGCGAGGTAGACAGCATCTTCGTGACCCATTGTGAAAGATTATCTGAATGAGAGAAGAGATGTTAGTGGGCGAGAATGCGAATAAATAGATTTCCGGATATAGAGTGCGGGCGACTGGGGAGAAAGCGCCACAGTAGAGCAGAATCGATAGTGCAGAGAAGCGAGGGGCAGGAGGCAGTCACAGGGCAAAAGTGAGGCTGTGAAGTCAAGTGGTGCAAGGAACACGGAAGCGATAACGCCTCCCCTCCTTTCCCTGGTTTGCCGGGAAATCCCCGTCATACGTATCAGGTCTCCCAGCATCATGAGGGCCGTTGAAGGAGGAAGAAAAAAACAAGTCGAATTTCCCAGCCATCACGACCCCTAATCATTACGCACCCCCCAAGACCAGGATGCATTGCGACGATCGGGGGAGGCTTGGTAACAGCGGGTGGTGATTCAGCCGGATCCTCCACTCAGCTAGCCGTGGACTGCCTGCGTGCGTTGCGTTCCCAGAGCGCAGTCTAGACGGGCGGTTATGGAGGGGGGGTGGGAGGGAACGAGGAGGATCCCTCCTCACACCCTCTCAACCTTCCCAACCAGACTCGGCCATTCAGCGCGCGTACCCATGTCCGGAATAAAGTCCTGAACATGCAGAGCCTCCAGCCGCCAACACCCCGCCATTTGCGATCGGGATCGCGGCCAGAAAAGGAGGGGAAAGCGGCGGATGACGATGATGGAGGGGGATGGGCATTGGGATTGTCTGGTACGCGGAAGAGAGGGGGAAAGGACACGGCAAGGAAAACGAAGAGAAAGGCTTACCTGAGATAAAGCAACAGATAGGAAAAGGTGTATTCTATAGTCTGACAAGGAAGAAAAGAGAGAGAGGTTAGAAGGGAATTGAAGGAAAGTAGAGTTGAATGGAGGAACAAAATTGGGGGAGGAAGATTTGGGCTGGTCGAGTCCTGGTCTTTTTGTTTTCCTTTTTTAATTTAAGGAATGGGGGGGTGGGAGTATGACTTAAGCAGGGGGAGGGGGGGGGGAGAAGGAAGTGTGGATGTGGATGCGGATGGAAAGGGAAAAGGGTAAAGTACGGACCAAGAGGAGAGAGAAAGGACGAGAGTTGAGTTAGTCAGAATGACCGAGGAGAGAATGTGTGTGGCAGTAAAGTAGTAGGAGAAAGAGAGAGAGGATGGAGAGAGAAAGTTGCAGGATTGGCAGCAGCAGTAGTAGTTAGAGGGAAGTTAGTTAGGCGGGAAAGAGGGGAAGAAAGAGAGAGAGAAGGAGGAGAAGGAAGAGGAAAGGGAAGGGAGAGGGAGAGGGGAGAGGCAGTGGAAGAGGGAAAATGGGAATTGAATTGGCCTGCCGGAAGGGGGTGGGAGACTCGGCCAGAAAGGAGACAGGACTGACAGCCAGAGTTGGCGGTCACTACTTGCTGGCCAGGAATCCCTCATGGCAAGCAGCAGCAGCATCATCATCATCTCTCTCCAATTCAGTCCTCCCTACACTAATCATCATACTATGAATGCTTCCGGGCTGTGCCTCCCCATACTTTTTGTCACTACTCACCACTACTTCCCCCTAAAATCAAGTAACCCAAATGGCCAGCCCATGATGGAGTCGGTCTTACACACTCCAACCTTTTCCCCGATCCCGGCCCCGACTTACTTATTCTACTACTGAACGATTATTGCTACTAATAATACCAAGAAATCAATCACAGGAATTATTGACCCTCTCCAGTGGGTTTCCTCCTCTTGTGACGGGGGGTGGAGGCACTGGAGGGAGACAGACCTACCTTTCACGGGGTAGAGACGCAGAGAATCCGAAAGAATCCCGCCGGTCATTCTTCTGGCCTGCCTTGTCTGTGAGTAGCTACGTACACTGACGCTGCCTATCCCAGAAACTTGCACATCATGGCTGTCTTCTATGATGCCACCCCATCCAATGGCATACTTTGGGAATGTACTATAGACAGCAAAAGAAGATTTTCGTTACAGACAATGGTATCAGAGGTAGACCATCAGCTCCATCCATCCATCTATCCAACCCCAAGACTGAGATTGGTCTCCTGAGTGTCCAAGTCTTGACGCCCATCTCTTCTTCTCATCTCTCCTCATCCTGTCGGGTCTGGCTTTGTGTGGTTCGGTGGGCCCTCCCAGCGTCATCCCTATTTCACCTCCGCCAATCGTCCCGCCCACCACTGAGATCCCAGACCGTCGCCGAACCAGATGGATTGGCAGCGGATCATTATTGGAAGGGGGAAAAGAGGGTCAATCAAAGACGATAAGTTGCTAACCGTCGGACGGCGCTCGGGACCAGTCTATTCTATCTAGTTAGTATATTATCTATCTAGTTCGAGGAGTCTAAATTAGTGATTATTGATTGATGACTTGATTGAAATGGGTCAAGGGATTGCTTCTGGAACTTCGGGGAATATTACTGTGTAATGATGGCGCTGAACTATTCATTAGGAGGCGATCCTATAATCCGCATATCATCGTCATTCAGGGATTCGCAGGAATGCTCCCTTTGCCTAGCATCCTCAGAAGATAGATAAATGAAGAGGCAACTCTCATTGCAACTGGATACACAACTTAGACTCTAAGTACAGAGTAAAAAAGTAATAAAATAACCATACCATGGAAGGATCAATGATAATGCGCGTAACTTCCAAGTCCGTCTCCCATCTCAACATCCCAACACCGCCCCCATAATAACAATAATAATAATCCTACCAAATTAGGCATCCGTCACTTGACACTCACCTGACCAGACCACCCGCTGACTCACCTCACCACATCACATGATCCCTCCATGATCCCACCCGGCAACCAACAACGACGTCATCCGCTCCCGGTCTCGACACCTTAGGTAATCATAGCCTGCCAACCCGGTTGCATTAAACACTTACTCTTAAGTACCTGACAGTCTTACTACTCTCTCTCTCTCTCTCCTCATTGAACCTTCCCATCCATCCATCCAACGAATCTGACAACCACCTGACCTTTCATCCATAACTTACCTACCTTATCTTCCATCCATCCATCACCGCAAAAGCAACTCCATAACCATAACCATGCTCCGCCAATCCATCACCAAGTCCTCTACCCGCCTCCTCACCACCACCACTACTCGTTCCTTCTCTGCTCTCGCTCCCAGAATGGGTGCTGGCGATACTGGTGCTCCCCGGCCGGGCGGTTCTCAGCATGCGTGCGTTAATACTACCCTCTACATAGTCTCATCAATACCTACTGTCCTATGCAGTAGAAGCATATGACATCATCATCATCATCACCAGTACCTAACGCTAACTGATTGAAACAGTGACTCGTTCACCAAGCGTGAAGCCGCCCAGGAGAACTTGTATGTTCACGAGAAGGAGATGGAGAAGTGCGTATACCTGACCAAACCCCCCTCATACTATATCTGAAGGGAAGGAAAGCTAATGATCTGTAATGTATAGGCTCCGTGCCCTGAAGGCCAAGCTCAACGAGCAGCGCAAGCACCTTGATGAGCTGGATAAGCACATGTATGTTTACTGTCTTTCTACCATACGGTCATGTACCTGGGTGTATAGCTAGCTAACAATTATATTTATAGTGACGAGTTCACCAAGAACCAGGGCGGCGAGCAGAACTAGATACCTAATATCTTTTTTTCTTTCCCTTCTTTGTGTCCCTATCATATGGATGATGTGATGATTTGCTACCATACCTACCTTACCTACCTACACATACCTATCTATTCTACTCTACTCTACTATTATCGGAATACCGAGCGAAATCGAATCGAATCAAATCAAATCGATCAACCAGACAGATTCACTACCAGCGTGGATACACAACCTTATGTCTTTTTGATATGATATCACATATTGTGTCTACCTACCTACCTACCTACCTACATACACAAAACATGTAATCTCTCCTCTCTACATTGTACAAGATAATACATAGCATAGCCGGAATATCTACCAACACACACATTCATGGCGATTATCATTATTCCCATTCCATTTCATTTCATTGTATTGATTGCATTGCATTGCATTGCATCGCAAGACTCCACCAGCACAACAGCAACAGCAGCATGGAACAACAACAATAGTAGAAAAAGAATAAGACGTAAAATAGAAACTAACAACCAATCCTAGTTAATAAAGAAAAACCATCCCGTAACCGTTTGTTTACAGAAACCCAATCCACATCCTCTCTTCACATTCAAGTCAATTAACTACCGACGTCCCATATAAGAGCGATAGAAATCATCCGCCGCACTACCGCCCATGGTAGAGCTACCCAGACCATACCCGAACCGCGATGAGAGGGACTGGCCGGCCTTCTGTGCGGCGTCGACCTTGGCCTGGAGCTCGCTGGTGCCTTGGTCGATGACTTGCAGTTGCGCGAGGTGGGAGTTGAGGATGCGGACGATTTGCGAGATCTATCCATTCGTTCATTCATTAGCATAAGCATTAAGGATCTTTGGGAGAAGGGGATAGAATGATACGTACCGGCTCGTCAGCCTTGTTCGTCTTGCTGAGAGTCGAGGACGCGCCGTTGACTTCTTCAATCATGCTGGTCAGATCCTTGCCCATTTCATCCAGGCGCTCGGAGAGCTTCTCGGCCATTTTGTATCTGTTTTATCATGCTGTTAGCACCATAGCAAAGGTTAAACAAAGGGTTATTGAAAACGTACGTCCGTTCACGCTCCTGGTCAGGTCCCTGGAGAGTCTCGCCCGGTCCAACTTGCTTCGAAATCATCTCGTCCACTTCACGCTCGTACCGGTCGAGCCAGGAGCTGAGCTCTTCCTGCTGGCCCTCGACGGACGCCAGCTGGCGCTCTACTTCTTGGGTCGCGCGCTCGGCGTCAACCGTGCTGCCATACAGTTTCTGCACCTTGGTGCCGTTCTCAACCAGCATCCGATCCCATTCTGCTACCTTCTCTGCTTGCTCGCGGAAGTCCTTCTGGTACTTGGTCAGATCTGTCGCCCACCGGGTGATGATCTCGTCCATGGTCTTGTTCTTCAGGCGGGACTGCGCAGGGGGGGTAGG